CGCCCCCCCGAGGCGGGGGAGGGGAACGATATCCGAGGCCCGGAGGCGGCCCTGCGTCGGGACCAGGCACGCGGGGGCTGCCTCTGCACCCCCAGTCCAGGGCCGCGGGGCCTGGCCTCGCCGTGGGGTGGAGGAGGTAAGGGCGAGTCGCAGGCGCGCTGCAGGACCACTCCCGGAGAGGGAAGGCTGGGAGGACCCCAGTCGCTGTCTCTTCTTCCTTCTCCCCACAGCCCTCCAAAGGCCCGCGAGGCCGCCCAACCGGCAGGGATTCTGGGCAGGCCAGGCCCGAGGCAGGGAAGGGGTTAATTTAAGAAATTGAAATCAGAACGATTTGAGAGCAGGCTTCCCCTCCCCCCCTCCCCCGTCTCTTCACGAGCCAGGTTTGGGGGCGGGGGTGAGCTCCAGAACCCCACTGGGGCTCTGAATCTTGGAGAGCTGGGACCACTGGGAGGAAGGAAAAGGAGGAGGAGGGGGGCCCTCAAACCCCAGCCCTCCCCACCTGTTTCTTGGGGAGGTGGGGGAGGGGCTTGTGCAGAGGCCTGACTGGGCACCTGTGCGGGTGTCTGTGCGTGCCAGTGTGCACGTGTGATAATTTGGAGATATGCATGTGTGTGCATGTATGTCTCCATCTCCTCACATCTCAGTGCCTGCCCGAGTGTATGTGCCCTCGTTGACTCTGGATGTGTGCGCCAAAGGTACTGTGGGCATGTCTGCATTGCTTTGCATGTGAGTGTGTGTGACACAGTGCCTGTGTGTGCTGCCCACAGTCTGCCTGTGAGTACGGAGTGGGGCCTGCTCTCTCCTTAGGTGGAGTCTGCAGCAAGGGGCCCAGTTGGTTTCCTGGGTGTGGGATCCAGGTGCTGGAGCCTGTGTGTGTGACCTTGGGCGGTGTGTGCATGTTTGCAGGAGAGTGAGGGGGAGCTTAGAATAGCTAAGGCCATGTAAGGGCTGTCAGGAAGCAGGGGGTTGGATGCATGGACACTTTTTGGGTCTTCATCAAGCTAGGGTGACTCCCTGGGAGGGGAGTCACTTGTTGGGACCACAGTAGCAGGTGTGGAGAACCAGAGCCCCAGTCTTCTTTAGAAATTTAGAGGGATTTAGAGAGGCAGGGGCATTCCTTTATTCCCCACCCACAGGGGTATAATAGGTGTGTAATGCGGACACCTCCAGCTGCCTCCCCATCCTTAGAACACCTCCACCTGCTGGCAGATGCCTCCCAAAAGCACGGAGCTTTGAGCTTCATTCCTTTGCCATGTAAATCCAGTTATGAAACCTGAGACTTTTCCCTCTATTTCTGTAATTTTTACCTCTTTGACTACTTTCCTGCATTTTATATAAAAAGAGGGGGGAAGAGCTCCAGGGCCCTGAATGATAACTGGAAAGGAGAGGTGGTTCCTTGGGCATGGTAGGGAGTTGGGGTAAAGGGAACAGAGAAAGACCATCAAAAAACAAACTCTGCCAACTTCTCGATTTTGCCTGATCTGAATTTAACAGAGAGAAAGAGACAGAGAAACACAGTTGCTTCTAGATTTAAGGGTACCTAGCTTGTTTTTCTTTTTGTCTGTAATATTTTATAATAGGTGGTTGGTAGGAGAATTGCCATCCTAGAATTTGCCATCATCCTTTGAATTCCCTAGACTTCTGACCTCTCTCAAGGCCTACTACACCCTTTATTCATTTGTTAAACAATCTTTCTTGAGTCAATCAGTATGGGCCAAGCTGTGCTATTACAGTGTTAGCGTGACAGTGCACTCTCAATTGAAAGGAATCTAGTGTTGGGACCGAGAGACGCGCCTAGGTTTGGAAATCAGTCAGGTAGCACTGGGTTCAATTCCTAATTTGTTGTGCTTTCAGTTATGCACTGGAACCCTGGAGAGCTGGGACCACAGGGAGGAAGTCTAAAGAAGGGGGAGGAGTCACCCTCAAACCCCAGCCCTCACCAGCTGTTTCTACAGGAGGCGGGGAAGGCACTTGTGCTCAGGCCTGGCTGGACACCTGTGCAGGTGTCTGTGTGTGCCGGTGTGCATGTATGCACGTGTGCAAAACCTATTCTCCTCTCTCAGTCTCAACAGTGTACCACCCTAGAATTTAGGGATTTACAACAACTGTGATTTGTTAAATTTCTTGGTCTGTGGTTGGCCGTGGCTAGGGCTCTATGCTCTCACTTGAACTTCTCACACAGCTACATTCGGTTGTGGGATCAGCAGGAGTGGAACATCCAAATGGCCTCTCATCCTCCGGGGTCTCATCTAGTCATTCTAAAGTCTAGCCCAAGTATCTTACACAGCAGCCGGATCCCAAGGGGAAATATTCCAGGAGAAAGAAGTCCTAAGGTACAACTACTTATCAAATCTCTTCCTGCATCAGGCTTGCTAATGTCCCATTGGTCAAAGGAAACTACATGACCAAGCCCTGAGTCTGTGTGGGAGGGGACCACAAAACGGCAAGGACACTGAGAGGCGTGTCTCATTGGGCTCACCAAAGCAGCAGCCTGTTACTGTCCATAGTGGCCTTGGGCAAGTAATTCGGCCACTCTGGACCTCAAGTTTTTTTAATCCTAATATGGAGACAGAATCACCTGCTTGGTGGCAATGTTAGGAGGACTGAGTAGTGTGTGGGGGTCTGACCAGAATCATTCATAAATAAATATTCTGTTGTGACGAATAGATAGCAAGGACCCTAATAGCATGACAGTCATTCATTGTTGTATGGCCAGTGTCTAACTTAGGCCTTGTGTTGATATGTTTTGTTGGGTGAATTGAATGAAGCAGATAAGCCTTAAACTTTGGAGTTGAGATAGAGCAAGTGACACTGTTGAGAAGGACACAGCAAGTTCCTACCTCCCAGTAGGTGACCAACACAGCCAGGAAAGCACCTGTTATTCAAAGCAATTTTTAGATTGATTTTATTGTAACCAATTCACCCAGCCCCATGACAAGGAGTGGTGGAAATTGCTTTGGTTATATGAAATCAATCAAGTCATCCATTATTCAGTGTGATTCCTCTAATAACATACTAATGTCTACTGTGTGTGAGGGAGGTGTGAGGATGAATCAGTTGTATTATCCCTGCCTCCAGTGTATGTGTAAGAAGGGGTCTGATTTGCAAACAGGTCATGACTACTGGTATGTGGTACCTGTTTCCAACTTGAAGAACTATGGTAGGGGGACCAGCAGTTAGCGTAATGTCTATGTCCCTGGACTCCCATGTAGTCGACCACGGTTTGCGTCCCGGACCTGGTGGCTTAAACTCATGCTGGGCACGTTTGCGTGCTTGCCCAAGATGCCGAGAGGAGAATGGAGGAGAAGGGATTGTAGTGTGGCCATCCCCCCTGGGGGGCCATTTCTCGCTTTCTATAAATCTGTCTCTCTCGGTCTCTCTGGTGAGGGCACACGCCCTATAGCAAAAACCTCTTAAAAAAAAAAAAAAAGAACTATGGTAGGGATAAATTTATGCTGCGTTATGATTTAAACTGGGGGAGCAGCGGAGAAGGCTTCATGGAAAAGGTGACATGTAAGCTGAACCTGAAGAATTCACCAGTTGGAGAAGACTCAAAGAGGGACCTGCATGGGACTAGACTTGGGAACGTAACAACACATGGTGCTTCCCAGTGGAGCAAAGCCCTACAGGGCTCACTATGAATGCATGTGGAAGGGAGGCAGTGATGAAAGCTAGAGCTGGCAAAGCAAAGCTGAATCTAATCGGTGTTGAGGGCAGGCGAGGCAGGGTGGACTTGACCTTTCAGAAGATAGCCTTCAGAGATTTTGTTTAGAATAAAAGTGACATGACTGGAGCAGTTTTTGCAAAAAATGTTGGAAGCCATGAGAATTCAAAGCTGGAGGAGTTAGAGACTCCAGTTAGCGACAGCCTCAGTGACCCAGACAGAAGAGGATGTAGGTCTGAACTGGGACAGTGGTTGTAAGAAAAGAAGTCGACAGAGTCAAGGGTTTAGGAGGTAGTGTGGGCAAAAATCGGTGAGGAGATCTGAGCGAGAAGTCAGAGATAGCTTGGAGGTCGCTATCCATGGTGCTGAGCAAATAATGAGGATGTTGGTATAGGAAATATAAAAAAGAAGCAGATTTGGTGCCAGCCAGTGGCCTGGTAGTTCGAGTCTTAGATCTGATGGCCTGAGAAATATCAAGCCTGTGTGCATGAAAGCGCAAAATCCTGAAAGGAAGGCGAGATGGAGGTTCTCTGTGTGACCAGGGCCCATAGGAGGTGCTTTCTCGCTTTCTCTCTCTCTGTCTCTGCCTCTCTCTTTCTCTTCAGTGATTGTCCATGCCCTTTGGCAAAAATTAGGAGAAAAAAAGTGAATTTGAAGGTGGGAGTTGTGGTATTGGGAATTCAGTATTAGCCATATTAAGCTTTGAGCTGCCAACACTGAAATAGCTCCCTATTCATTCTCACTCTCTTGACTGGCTGCGTCCAAGAAGTATTTATTTATTTATTTATTTATCCCCACCCCCTTTTATTCTAATTGTCAGAGTGTGTGCTCAGCAAAAAGGGAGAGAGGAAGAAGAAGAAAGCATCTTCAGTGGGGTGTGGTCATGCCACAATCCTTTCTCCATTTCTCCCTCCTTTCAGGATTTTGGTCATGCCCACACACTGAGTATGTTCTTCAAGCACCAAGGCCAAGATTTGAACTGTGGTCAACCATGTGGGATCTGACTCCCTCAACCACTAGGCCAGGGGACTGGCTCATTTTTCTTTTAATTTTTTTTTTGTGAGAGACAGAGACAGAAGAGGAGAGAGAGAGAGATAAGCACCATCAACAGGGTCTCATGCTGCAGTCCCCTCCACCAACCATCCCAGCTAACAAAGATCATGGGCATGAAGGCCTAGCATTGTACAGCCAACCAGGGAACCACTCCCACAGTCTCCCATATGGATCCAGCGTCACTTGGGCAGTGTGTTACTGCAGCACCACCAAGCTGGGCCTAAGAAGCATTTTTTAAGATAATTATTTTATTTTATGTATTATTATTGTTGTTATTGTTAATTTAACCAAAGAAAGAAAGCAAGGGAAAGTGAGCCAGCAAGCTGTCAGATCCAGGACTCGAGCTGCAGTTAGCCATGTGGGAATCCAGCATCTTAGCTACAACACCATCAGCCATTCCCTCCCCCACACACATGAAG